CAATTGTGTCAAAGGGGGGACTGTGCAGAAATCAAAACTCTCTGAAAGAAAACTGCTGTAAGGGTTAAAAAGTTTTCCAGGCCTCTCTCCCTGTAACAGAGAGAAATCAAATTAGCTCTAATCAAAGACCCTTACAAATGACTATCTCAAATTCATGGATACTCCTAGTCTGTCACAATTTGTCATGTAAACCCTTATCTTTGTCACAGTTTGCCTTGTAGACTCCTCCACTCAAGTTCTCATGTGGCTTTGTGTACTGTAAAAACTTACTTCTAGCACTCCTGGGGTGAACAGAAGTCTCAGAGTACTTCTGCTGAGACTTTGATATGTTAAAGAAGAACAATCAACAACTGAACTGTCTAAGCATTCTGTATATAGGATACCTGAATCTGTCTCTCATTGCTGCTGCTTTCACTCTTGGAAGTGACAGCCTGCATGCATGCATCATAAAGTTTTCCCTTCTAGGTTTCTCTCCTGCCTCACTGATTTGACCTCCGGCCTCGGACCCTTCTGGGGGCTCTGTACCCCAGGGGAGCGAGATTTCCCCCTCACCACACAGCCTCAAGTTCTAAGTGGCCAGACCCCTCTCCCAGTCCAGAGCCTCTCCCCACACTTTGCAGTTCCCAGCTGCTCACCACATCCAGCTGCAGGCTGTGCTGTGTGACCAGTCTCTAGCTTCTTGCGTTGCTTCTCTGCTCCTTTTGGCTCTCTGAGCACTGCCAGTCTGCTGCTCAACACAGGGTCTGCGCTCTTGAGCTGTGTGTGTCAGGCTCAGCTGCTGCAAAAACTGCCCCTCAGCACACAGCTTGGTTTGCTTGGGCTGTCTCTCAGCTCCCTATTTTTGCAGGACTTCTTCACACAGCTTGTACTCCTATTTCAGCTCTCTGTCTTTGCAGGACCTCTTCTGCACACAGCTTGTTTGTTCAGAGAGAGAGCCAGAACAATCCCAGCTCACAGGGAGGACGGGGCCTGGCCTCTCCCCTTCCTCACTGGCCTGTCCAACCTGTCAATCAGGCTGAGCTGGAGTGTTGGCTGCTTTCCATTGTCTGTGGGGTCAGTCAGTCTCATGAACTCTTCCCCTTCAGATACTGCGAGCTGGCAAACCAAAAACTCCCACAGAGTTTTAGTAAGGGGTAACAGTCCCCTTACACTTGCCTTTGAGTTACAGATCAACACCAGTAGTGACTTTTGGAGGTAGTCCAACACACCCTCTTGGTGGGAAGATACCTCAGAATGATTGTTCCAGTTTTGGAAAAGAGCATATCGCCAAAATGCCCAGATATGAAGAGAGTAACCAAGTCAGATAAAAAGGCTTAAAAAGTTTATGAACAATTTTACAGCTGACATTCATTTAAAGAACTACTGGGTCCAGAACCTGGCGACTCTGTTCGTGTCAAATTGGACGGAGAAAAAGGATGGACAGCTCCAGTTGTTGTAAAGAAACAGAATCCAGTAGCCAGATCATATGTGATGGAGGCTCACAGCAGAGTTCAGCCAAGACCATCAATATCTATAGTTTCTTTCCTTAGAACAATCAACAGAGCAAACGCTACAACCTGTACATGCAGAGCTCAAGGATTCCAAAACCAACCACAGTCTGTTACTGAAAGTAGACAACCAGATGACAGTAAAGTACAGACACACTTAACAGATTGATTTGTACTGAACTTCAAAGACAATGCGATTGTGTAACTATTGTAAAGATAGGAATGTAGAACATAAAGGGGGAGATGTGTTATGTAACTGTATTATGTTGCTCAGCCACTAGCTGGAATTTTGTATACAATAGTGTAGAACCCTGTTTATCTAACCCTCCATTATCCGGCTCTCTATATTAACCAAACAGCCAAAGAGCACAGGTCCACAAATGGGCTATCTCTCCCATGGCCCTGGATGGTGCTGCTGCCTCACTTTTTCCCAATCTCCAAATTATCCATTTTTTGATTATCCTTTCTGTCCCCAGTCCCAATTAGATTAGATAAATGGAATTTTAATGTACTTTATTTAGGCTAACCTCAGACATCCCTGGAAGAGTGGTAAAGGATCTCATTATGATCACATTTGGGATATATAAGCAAGGTCTAGTAGCTAATCCATATCTGATTCAGAACATGACAGGTGCAGAGACAGGGTTAGAACTCAGGCAATGCTGACTGTCTTGTGTTTAGACCACACCAGTTGTACTAATAACTATATATAGCTACAGTTGCTTTGTATCTTGCTTTCTTCCATCAGAATTACTCCTGTTTTTTAAAAACACACCTTCCCAGAGCATTCCAATAGGGACCTAAACCAAAGCTGCAGATCTGAGCATCCCTTCAGTTTGGAATATTTTAAATCTGGATCTGAGCTGTGTTTTAAGATTTAGGCCTGCCTGAACCTAGTTGGGTTTGTATAGCCTGCAAGGCTGCCCTTGAGTGGATAAGAAGTTCTCACCATCATGAAGACGAAGGGCAAGGCGATTAAGACGTTAGCGATGGCGAATGTGCTGACACTGGCGCTCACCAGGAAGGCCATGCTCACAGCTGCCACATTTGTCAGACTGAGGGAAAGAACATACAGGAAGAAAGCTCCTGCATCCTGTTTCAGACCTGTGTATGGTGATACAGAGAAAGTGACTTAGTACCTTGGAAAGGTGTGGATCCATAACATGCATTGCCATGGAACTGCTACAGAGTGTAGGACGATTCCCACTACAGGAATCCAGCTTGGCATTTTCAGAAATTAAAAGTGTCATAACAAGCACTGCAGTGAGGATGCTTTCAGTGCTGGATGCATAGCATATCCTTCCAGGACAGTGTTGTGAGAGAGTTCCCATTACTGGAATTTTGGTTTGTAATTTGTGCATGGCTATGTTGAAGCTCACTGGATTTGTGAGGAATTTTCAGGCTGAGTGTCAGAGTTATCCCTAAAGAGCTAGGCAGTGCACCCCTCAGAAATGTTTGTATTTACTGGAAGGCTGGACCTGTTCTCATTCTCATCTGTAATCAGGCTCAAATTAGCAGTTTGGCTGTGTGGGTTTGTTTAACTCTTCACATGTCTCAGATAGAACTGAGCCCATCTGAGTGATTTTCTTGTACGGTTCCCTAAGCCGTGGAGGAACCTTAAGAGGCCACACTGCTGGAGTCCTGTTGGGACTGGATCCAGCCATGCTTTGTGAAAACGCAACCAGCTGGAGTCCGAGCTAGTGGTAGACTAGCAATAAGATGAATTTGTGGATGTGCGTCGTCTTATTGGGGGGCAAAGAAAAATTATTTTTGTCCTGAATCACTTCCTCAAAGAGGTGCTGAGCTACAGGAAATTCAGTACTTACCCATCATGAAGTATGATATGGCAGAGAACATCAACAAGGGTATGATACGATTGGGAATCAGATCAGCAAACACCTTGGCCAGAAAATAAGCTGAGGTCCTATAGTATCCCCTTGAGCTCTCGTGACTGGAAAAAATGTGTGCAATAAATAAAACCACTGAAAACCAAAGTAGCTGTTCCATATATTTACAATATTTAACTCTATAACCACTTTTCCCTTTCGTCTTTTCCTCTTTTCCTCTTTTCCTCCTCAATTCCATGAACACCCATCTCCATCAGAACTTTCTTCATCTCCAGACAGATACTCCATTAAATTAGTAAGCACAACATCCTGAAACAAAACTCTATCCCCTTCATCCTCATTTTTTATACATCTCTCCCATATACCCTTACTTTCAGAAATATACATGTTCAGCTTTAATTTCTACTCTTTCTGCCTTCTTTCTGGTCTGCAAATGTGCCTACCACATCTAAAACATCACCCACATATGATACTATCCCGATGTCTCCTCTAATGAAACTCTCTCCTATGCTTCTATCTCCTCCTCCTCCTCTTAATGCTTATAACTTCCTCCTGCCAAATTTCAAATTGTCCAAAATATGGTGGCCAGTCTCTTCATCCATATCTAGAACTGTGAAAACATCAGGCCAGCCTTCAAAAAACTTCTCCCGCTCAAAGCTTGTTGTCTACCTCAGAATCTAGTAATATAATTTCTGCAAAGCAGGGCTTTATCCCTTTCTCACTGATTAGACTGTACATTTTTACATGAACTTGCCCAACACACTCTCTCTCTCTCTCTCCCTTCTTCACAGTATTCTTTCTTTTTCCGTAACCCAGTCCTCACTCTCCTCAAATATCCAATTCCTTTCTTTCCCTCCTTGTGGTCTCTTCAGAGTAGAATGTAGAAACTGCACTTTTACCTGTATTTTAGTCTTTTGTTTCTGAAATGTGTCCATTCACATCTCTCCTACATTGTCTATAGATGCTAAGTGTGTGCTATATTATGACTTAATGAACAGAGTGTGCTTATATTTGCATGTATAGCTTTCAATTGGCTGTGATTGTATTTGTTTTGAAACAACACTGAGCAGTATAATGTTGGGAGCTAAACTGAGACAGACTTTCTCAGATCCATGATCGGCGAGACATTTATCAGGCCCAGCTGGACCTAAATTCTGTGACACAGCATACTTATTTCTGAGATGTTCTGATATGAAAATTCTGTGGCAAGGTTCAGAAAAAGTACACTTTTTAAATGCATGAAACCTGAAAATGAAGACTACAATCTATTCATTATTCCCATGTCATTTTTATTCTGATACCCAAATCAAGTCATTTTATGCTGCCCCAGATTTTCAGTTTTTAAAGTGCTGCTGATTTTGGTATCAAAAATGTATAACTGTGTTGTAAAAGTTGTTGAAGGAATCTGGAGATTTTGGTAACAGGACAAGGAATAGATGGGGCTTTTGGCCCCTTTGGAAGTCCTGAAGAGAGTTTGGAACCTGACCATCTACAAGGCATTTGAGGCTTTTGGCATTGTTGGTGGGGATGAATTGTCCCTTTCACTTCCTTTTTTAGGCAGATGTGGAGATTATTTGAAATTTTGGGAGGACTTGATGTCCAGGAGTCCTTGTCATTAACCAGCAGCTTCCTGTCCCATTATCATCCAATGAGTCCAACAGTCTCAGAAAGAAGACATTGTACTAGTGTTCATTCAGTTCACATCTCAGAACTTTTCTTTGCAACTCGAAGGGCTACGGTTATTTTGGAATGAAAATTAAATTGTGGGCACACACTTCTGTGGCTGCCACCTCGGCAGCCACAGGTGGTTTATACCAGTGTTTCTCAACCTTTTTTTATAAAGTACTCCTTTAAAATTTATATATATAATATTAGTACTTCCAGTACCTACCGTTTTCAGACAGAATTTTTTTCTACCATTGCAACACATTTGTTTAAACAACTTAATCATAGCCGGGAGGGCAATGAAATTTTTGGGTGTAAAAAGTACAAAAATAATAAAATGCTGTAAAACATTAAAAAATCAGTTTTCTCCAAATTTCAGTTGTGTTCATGTACCCCCCCCCGACTTCTCTCGAGTACCCCTAAGGGTACTCGTACCACTGGTTGAGAAACACTGGTTTATACCTCTTTCCAGCATTTTGAGTTAAAGTCCTTTTAGAGTCACTCACATGAAGAGCCTTCTCTCATTGATGAAGAGCTCTACTGCAGACAGATTCCCAAAGACCTGATTGATGACCAGGAAGAAGAAAGCTCCCAACCTGCAGAGAA